GCAGGCCTACACATAAAGCCTTTTCACACTACTGCCTGTTCACGTGGGTTGAACTCAACCCTGGGCAAAAAAACCTCATGACTGCCCTGGGTTGAATATTCAATTTTTCTACCCTATATTATTGTTTTACACTTGTTTCATGCGAACCGAGCTCACTGGGGCGAGGTCAACCCAGAGATAAGCATGAACCATTGTAAACCCAGGTTGACAGCCCTCAACCCTGGTCCAGAGCAGGGTTGAGGATTGAAAATTGTTCTGCAAACTAAAACACAATTACAATAAAATACAATATGTATATTAATTATGTAATAAACATACAGTAACCTGATATACATGTACATGTAACTGTACACACGTGTATACACTGTACATGTATGTTCCTGTACTTTGTGAGTGATTATGAGAAAAGAAATTTTTAACAGGCTGCTTTTTAACTCGTAAAATTGTTTCTAATGTGCCCAGTAACGAATACGACTGGCTTCTAGGAATCGTACCAGTGTCTGACTGTCATCGGACTGACTGAGCTCAGCATGTTGAAATAAGTTCATCAAGATAAGCACACCCTTACATGAACATGGTCAGGCCTTCATTGTGTTACGGGAACAATTTCTTTTATAAGGCAAATGAGGACCTGGTAGTAGGGACATTTTATGTCCCTACAATGTTTTTGGTCCCCACAATTGTTGGGCAAGTACACCCATACTTGTTACCAGGTTTATATGGGGACACCATACCAGTTTAAAAAAGCCAAGAAGTTATGGGTACCAAAAACTCATCCAGACTTTCCTGACAAAGAAATTGTTTTCTGAATGTGGAGAGGGCCTACTCAACCCAACCTGGTCCTGGGTTGAAGGAAATTTTACATGTGTTGAAATTACAGGGACAAATTTCTCACAACTCAGTCCCAACTTCCCTAACAAAAGAAACAGTGGGAAGTCCCACTGGACCTACCCATGTGAGCTAAAACTGAGTTCCCAATATAAAAAATGACTGGGCCCTGAGAAAAGCAGTCATCACAACTGTTACATACAGGCCTCTTTCTTGATATGTCATCAAGGATGGAGGCAAAGACTGAACCAATATGCCACAATGATAGAAATTAAAGTCATGCCAATCATAAGGTTGAATCTCCCCTCAGCTTATGCACACGTACAGTACTAATTAAAGGTGGGACTCTGCACGTCCATTGTCTACACAAATTGTACTTGTACTCCCTTGAATCAGTCAGTAAAAAAATTGACATTAAAAAATGAGACATTTGATCTAACTCACCCTGACTGGTTCACTCCTGGGTCTGGTCTTTGTTTTTACCGAAGTGGATAAGAGGGCATCGAGTGTCTGTGTTCCTGTCATTTCTGATTGTTCTTTTAACATCTTCACTAGGGTCCAAATCGTTTTTCTTTCATATACTTCAACCATAATTCCAATTTAAGTTCCACACACCCTGCTTCACCGGGCGCCTAAAGTGAAATGTTCTTATGGCATGCACAGCTCCAAAAATACCAATTCCTGTTCAAGGTTTTCTAATTAATTCAAAACACCGGGTTTATGCTACAACCCACCCACTAGCAGACAGTGTGCGTAGTCTGGAACAACAACTGGCATTGGGTAACCATCACCAGAACTCATCTGACATATCACCTGGACTTTGCGGTGACGTTGATGATAGATGACAAGCTCACGCAAGGGGGAAACAACACAGGGACTCGGTCAACACATCATGCGTTGGTGTTTCCTCTGCCTGAATACCAGTCAAGGTTGTCCCTCACGAGTCCCAACTCCCCCAGGAGAGTAAATGGACTTTCCCTCCCCAATCACTGCGATTATTTATTGTCCCTCAGTGACGTCAAGTGCATTTTTTGCCCAATTTTTCTGAATCACTGGTGCCACTGACTAAATCCCCTATTTTAACCACTAAGCCTTTAAATTCCAAACTTTCACCATTAATCAAATAAACTTTCACCATTAATCAAATAAACTGTCTTTGTCTTCTCATGGTAAACAGATACTCAAAAGATACTTTGAAGAAAAATTTGAAGCATTTTGCACACAGGAAGAAAATGATCAATAATATTCCATTCTTCTTAAATTGACCTGGAAGTGGAAAGTTCTGAAATGAAGGTGCATCTATACCATTAAAATTGATCACTGGGAATTCAATGAAAATTCCAACCCCACAAACAGCTCACCTGGAAAAGTAATTTCAACTGCAGTACAATTCATGTGGAAGGAAGTGTTACCAGAAATAGCTAACCTTGTTAATAACAAACAGCATCCCATGACAACAAGAAGGGCGTTTCTGCTGTGTAGGAAATACTATTATGAAATTCCTGCCCTGTGAAGGTGCAATACATACCACAGGATGTACATCATGATTAATTACCAATGGAATCATATCCCAAAGATATACCAAAATAGAGGGACAGAAAACAAATCAGAAAAAAACTCTCCCAAGAAAACAGACTATACCCCGAAAAAATTACAATATGTATAAGGGACATTTTACTAATTTGCCACATTTTAATTAGAATTTAAATTTGAGTGATCAAAATAAAACAAATGCTCGAACATGTACCAGTACATGACTACAAGAAGCAAAGTTCATTGTTGCAGGAAATGTTGTAACACAGTAACAGAGAAAAGGGGAAGTCTTGAAACCAATGATCAGATAAGGAAACCAAACCAGAAGAACAAACAACAAAATGTCTCAATAAAATAGATGAGACTTTTCCAACCAACAAAATCTTCTGGGTTTGGAAAACAAGGGCAAAAGTTGAAAAAGCTGCCTAGTGCCTAGCATGGCTTTCACTCAAGGAGACTATTTCCTGATAACAGGCTTCCGACATCCGAACTTTACAAGTTCACAGAATTGTTTGGTGTCTTGTAATGAAACAATAAAGGGGCCACCTTTTCTACAGTCATCTAATATAAATATCCAGGTTTTCAATTTCAATGAATTTTGTAGTGTTCTCACTTTCAATTACAATTCCTTTTAAAAAATCACAAAAATGCCACCAAGAAGTATGTAAATTCAATTTCTCCTAAGATAATTGTCAAAAATTGTTGTTGTTTTTGGTAATCAAATCAAAGCTTAGAATGCTATCTTTTCAACTCGGAAGACTTCCCTGATATGTGATGATAAACTATGGAGATAATCTTGATTACATAAGACATATCCTTTTTTGTTCTGTCCAATGGGACACTGTGTGTGCCAATGACCTTTCATTTTCAACACCGCAGTAGGCCCCACACTTACATGTACAGGTACATGATCATGGACCCGATACGCCGTCCTATCCACTTTGAAAAGAAGCACCCCCCTTATTAGTTGAACAGACCTAGGCTGGTCGGAAGTGTTCATTTTGCTGGAAACGACGTGACCCCAACATGTGCATTTCATAATCCTCATGAAGTTCCAAACTTCTGACCAAAAGAGCCTCTGTTGCTATGAAAATTGCACCCTCTCTTGGTCCAGCTCAGTGCTCATAGTACTAGTCCGCGCACTGCAAAGTACGGCCAGCGACTCAAGATCCACGTATTTCAGAGACATGCAGTAAGCCCAGTGAAAGGCATGCCTACCAGTACGGGTACGTGAATATTGAAGGAAAAAATTGGCTTAACTTAGCGATGAAACAATGGAAATCTTAATGAGCACAAGATGCACAACCACACAAAGCAGTTGGCAACATTTTCAGAATTAGGCCTACTTGTTCTTTCTTCCGCAACTCAATCAGAATATACTGTTGCTGTCATACTACGTGGAATAAATGTGCAAATATTTCTGTGGGTGTTTTCTTTATCGTCAAAGTGGTAACATCAACCACCACATTTCACAATTCTTTCGTAAAAACTATCAAACTTAGTGTAATTGGAAATCTGAGTCTGTCTTTGTTAAATTTGTCTTATTCTGTTAGCTCAGGATTGATCTGCCCTTTAAATTTGAGATGTCTATTTTGCAAAGTTCACTTTTGCTTTCAAAATGTCTCATAAGGTTCTTGTGAAAAGATTAACGTTTGAAGCTGGAACCGTATCTACCATATGCCATTCACTGATCGCACACTTATTTATTGTTTGTTCAAACATAACAAAGCCCCCCTCCCCTGCAACTTGTAATCGCAGATGCCGCAGAGGTTGGAACATGATCTCTGAGTTGGCAATGAACAGATCTAAAAAAACCCCCAAAAACAGCAATGGACCGAAGAAATTTCACTAAGCATTATCACCACTGCCAGGATGGCGTGAGTGGCGTCTTCCAAGTTCCAAACTTTGCAAAAATGTCTATAAATTCCTAACGAGTCACGACTGGGACAGAAACTACATGTACAGTAGTTGTCTGTGAATATTTATGAAGTAGCTGGTATCAGGCGAACACTTAGCTATGAAAGTAGAATGTGAGTCTGCCAGTGAACACACATGCGCTATCACCACTGGTGCCCGTGAATTGGGGTTTGGAGTAAATGGCTTGAACTGTGAGTGTGGAAAAACATCCGAAAAATAAAACCTGGTGTTTATTGACTGATACCTTGCACTTTGATACTGGGTCTGGCAGACCTACCCATAGATACCGTATATCGTTGATGTTTATTTTGCGTTTATGCAAAAGTCCATTTTAGTCAAAACCTTTGTGAGCCTCACAAGCAGTAGGCGAGAAGTGGCGAGAAGGAGCTAAATAGGTCTACTGACACATCTAATTTCTGTTAACTGCGTGAAACTTCCAGGGTGCATAAATTGCATTTTGAACAAGAAAAAATTGTTTTTGACAACAGGCAATGAGTCAATTATGTCTTAATGTCCTGCTCAGCATACTCAAGAGTTACTATGCCTGTGACCCTATAAATACATGTAGATGCACATTTTGGAGTTGAGTCCAAGCAGAATTGTGATTATGAGATGGAATTGAAATCGATTCCAAAAATGCTGGATTTGCTCAACACTACTCAACAGACATACAGAGGAGATGTTCTACTTAATCTTTATGTCAAGACCATGTTCGCTCTCACCTGTAAGGCAACACCGACTTTCTTGACGGAGGACACCGGAGACACCAGGCTTGCCAATGAAGTAACCTTGACCAGGGTCCGGGACCTTCTGGTGCTGGTCCCCTGCGATGATCAAACAAACAGTGATAATATATATGCAGGAGCACAAGGAGTCCGTTATTCAAAGCTACCACTGCCACATCCTACATGTAGCACCATCAGTCTGTTTATGTTTTCAAAGTACATTTCTATGCTCTTTTGTTTCTACCCAAGGGAATGAAGTTCAGTGAACATGGGCACTGCTGTATGACACGTCCAGTGAATTGGCATGATGCAGAGAAAAGTAACATGCCTGCTCGTATGCAAAGCTCTAGACAATAATCCAAAAAGGCACCACTACTGCAGTAGCACCACACTCACGCAGGCATTCTTAAACTTGAGGTGTGCATACACTTGGCAAGTCACAGCACTCTATTGGGTGAGGATGAATTTATAGCGTGCATACCACCTGTGTGCAGGAGGATTAGTCTATTGTGCAGCTGCAGGCTTTTGTCTACCAATCCTGCACAAGGCCAAATGGCTTGAATGTGCAGTACAGTACTGTACGTGTACCATTCCCAAGCAGTTGTTCATGAACCATTCCAAGGTACTAGTTGCATCTTCGCATACAATTTCTGAAGGAACATGACACAAGGGTTCCCACCACTTCAGGTTTTTCTTGCAAATGCAAATTTCCCCTTAATTGTTCCCAGCCACTGAGGTCATAGCTAATCCCATGAAAAAGATAAAAGACAACAAAAGCAAAACAAGAAGTGATAGTAGGACTTCATGCTAAACATTCCTGTAGTGAATAATTATACACTCTAGTCCACTGAATCACATCGCTGCAATCATGTAACAATGTACCTGTACATGCACATGTATACACGTGCAGGTACCCTGTAGGTATACTGTAAGAATTTGGGTCACTCAAGATGAACTTGGTGCAGAACGTGCTTGAACTGAAGTTTAGCTATTCCATCCAGCCTGACATGCATTCTAATGACTGCTGACAGCTTGTTATTCAGTTGGACACATTACACCCTGTGGACAGCTAGGCAAAGGAGGCCCCTGATGCCTGCCAACATGCCTTCAAACCTCCAGACTGTTATTTCCGTAATTTCTCCCTGCAGTACGGCTGACAATCCACAGCATTTGAAATGCTATTTTTTATTTTTATTTTTTACTAGAGAGTTATTTAAAACAGATTTGGTTAGCAAGACTCACATTTACAGACCTGATGCAAAGTCATTTGGACCTTCAACAATGTTAGCAAACTCAATAATTTTAAAACGAATGCAGTTGTTGATTACATTGGGAAAAAGGATTAAATGTAATGCACGTAGAAAATGTCCGAGTACATGTACGTACAAGCTACATGATAAGTCTGGTCACAATCAAAAGGGAACATAAGCAGTGAAAAAGAAATGTGCTTCACTCTAAGAGTGTGTGGCTAGCTGTCCTCAAATTGAATAGATTGGGATTGACTTGCAATGACATTGTGAATTCAACATGATTATGTGCAATTAACCCATTAGCATATATGTATTGTTTTCATGTTAAATGTATTGTACATTGTATACATTCTGTACAAGCTTTGCTCAGATTAAAATCAAAGGCACAATTGGTAAAATAGGCACATGTACATTTTGTACCGGTACATGCATGTTAACACACTGTCCACATCATACCATTTTGTTTTCTCTGCTGTACATACAATCACATTCATGCCCGTGGGAACACATCTTTCTCAGGGGGTGCTGAGATTGTAAAATCATAAATATCTTGTGTTTTTCGGCCGATCTCTGACATGGTTGACATATGTTTGTGGCTTAATGTGGTCAAAGTTGGGGGGGGGTGCTATTTCAAAGTACACCTGCACCCCTGTCCAAAACAGTTGGGGGTGCGTCTGACCCCCAGCACCCCCCATTCCCACGGGCTTGTTCACATTTTCAAATTTTATAAACCATAAGGGTGGTCTGTCATGCCATATAACCATAGAGTACATTAGAGCTGGAATATAAACTGCCCCAATCCAGCTGGCTGTAAGTTACACAAATTTGACCATTCAGATCCAGAAATAGCTAGCAGTCTAGAAAAGATTTTCAAAAAAGGCATACATGTTTGCTTCATATCATCAGCTAAACATCTGCAAAGACCCTGGACTGTCGGACCCTAAAAATCGGCACAACTCATGATGACCATAGAAAGAGGAATTGCAAACAAAGACAGACAGGATTCTGTGGAGGAAAACATCTTGCCGACTGCTGTTCAAATAGGAACACGAGGGATGAAACCTAGAAAGCATGTTGGACTGATTCAAATTACAGGTGCTGAGCATGAAACTGGATGGCAAAAACATGTCTCATTATGGATTAAAAATATGTACAGTTACCGGTAACAGATGAAAGTACATTATAAAAATGTACATTGTACCATTTATGTGTGTCAGTTGTTTGCACTTTTAGAACCAGTCAGAATAACTTCAGTAGAAAACGAGATCCCGCTGGATAACACTTATGCATTGAGCAAGAGAATCACACATCTCAGGTTATATTCATAGTCTCACATTCCTATGGGAATTCTCACACTAAAATAAAAACCAGGTTATTCGCTCAACACTTCTTATCCAATCCTAAATAATCAATGAAAACACTTCCCGGCTTGCAAGCTTTGCATGTAATGTACATGTACATGTAATGTACAGTACATGTACATATACACTGTACATGTACATGTAATGTACATGTACATATACACTGTACATGTACATGTAATGTACATGTACATGTAATGTAATGTGCATGTACATGTACATGTATTTTTCAGGTTATATTGTACAAGGTAATATGGCAGTATTTGCAACTACAGCGTAGCTACTGATGCAATGCCGAGAACTATGCTCTTACTCAACCCTCACTCAAAGTCGGCAGCCCTGAATAACTCCAAAACTCGGAAACTTGTAAAACTAGATAAAAACCATACACTTAAGTCATCCAGTGGCTTTTTTGTGTATGGTGATATTTAATTGTATAGTTTTTTAAATTTGAAATGTCTGCTTTTAGTCACTTATTAATTGTAGCTGTAATAATTGTTAACTGATTTTAGTCGAGCAATGTTATCTTTGTAATGCCCTTTTGAACACTTTTAGTGGAAAGAGCGCAATACAAGTGCACTATTATTATCATTATCCATGCATGGGGACTTGATCAACATAATCTTTCACCCAAACGGCTTGTTTTCTAAATTTAATAAAACAAGATATAACTTTATTTTGTTTATTTTGTTCACTGAACAATACGAATTAAAACCTCCCAAGGTATTTCATCAACCAAAAAATGAAGAATGTACCTACCAGGAGAAAATCCATGAGCAATGAAATCATGTTGATCCATTGATTCTGCTAGTTGGTCATACAAAACAAAATTCCACACAGAGTGTCCTTCAAAGAGATGTACATGTACATTTGTACACGCACTAATATCAGCACAACAGCAAATGCATCTTTACAAGAAACCTCAAAATGCAAGTCGCCACTCCAAAATAGCTCCCGACCTTAGCCCATACAGGCCCAGCCCGGATTCTACTCACGAAACACTCTTTTTAACACCAAGAGGATGTCAAGGGGATATTTTTATCTTGGCATTATGTCCCTTCAGAGTTTAAATACGATGGGTTAAGCTGGTACAGTAGGTACTGCATTGCAGGAAATAACCAATAATAGCCTAATGGGAACATGTCATTAAAGGCAAGGGGTGGCATGTGCACTAATACAAGAAAGTTTGCTACGTAAAAACACATATACCTAGAAAACTATAAAGTTTATGTACTTGTTAATATTTTAATAACCATTCGTGGTAGAACAAGGTTTTTCTGAAATTGGTCTATCATCTGGTAATATTTTCTTTACGCTGTGGACTGCAGCCTAATCATTGCAAGGTTCTTAATGGACGTTGAATGAAGATTCTTAACTCTTGTACTCAAAGTAAACACTTTGCAAATACATAGTACATGAGCATATCCGGTTCGTAAGTGACTTTGTCAAAAAGGCGGACGCGCCACTATTTGTATGCTCCCATTGGATGAATGCTGAAGTTGCACATTAACTTCCGGTTCCACGTAAACTGTGATCAATGCATGTACATGTAACTCTATGTGCAGTGCATGTGCAGTGGGCGTGGTTTAAACTGAAGTGACGTCACACTTACGAACCGGATACTGTCAACAAGAAACACGTTGCTTTGTGCAAACCCCTTTCAGATGTATGTACATGTGGTGCGACAGTCAAAGTCAGGAGCACAGTGTTATAAATCAGTGTCAATAGGAGAGATATTGATTCTTGTTTCCAATTTAACCTTAAGTATAAGAGCAACTTTTCAACAATCCAAGTGATGTCAGGCACATCAAGTAATTTTGTTTTGCAGTTACAGTGTAATTGAATAATCCATTTGTTCACTCTAAACATGTAGTATATCCCCACACAAACACAAGTGCATATTGAATTTCTTCTCAATCTCCAAAAAGCAAATCATATCATCCCTCGTCCCTCTCTTATACGTGAACCAAATAGCTCAATTTTGTTCCAGTTCACGACATCCCAAAGGGGGCGATCCTATTTCTGATTGCATGTGCATGTACATGTAGCGGTGGATTCAAACCTCCCTGGTTGACCCGCACCATTAATTAGTCACAATCCACGGATGCCTGGGTTGCCGCGATCAAAACTTTCCTGACTGGGGATTTATTGGGCGCCCTTGGTTCAAGAGATGGAGGGCCAATAGACGCCATGGGTAGGTACGTGTACATTTTGGGCTTAACCCTAAATCCTGTCCATATGTAACGACCAGCACTACTGAACCTGACAAACTCAAACTGCAACCAATAGCTACTGCTGCTGAGGACCTTGAATGTATTCAGCACATTTACTGTGACAACTTCAACCGGGTCTTTTGTTCACTGATTAAAAAAGAGAAAAAAGGAAAGTAAGTGCCCAACGATGAATCTGTTAAAATTCAGAATGCAGCCTACATGTACCAGTAGTCGTACATGTACATGTAGTTACACCCACCGCAATCCACTTTTAT